GCCAAAAATTCTACACATTTCCTTCCTTCCTTATTCTCTCTCTTGTTCTTTCTTCCTTTTTTTCTTGTGTTGTGTTCTCTTTCTCTTATCTCTCCTCCCTCCCTCCCTCCCTCCCTCCCTCCCTCCCTCCCTCCCTCTCACACATCTCATTCATTCAGATTCTCAAAGCAGCTTACATGGTGGAGAGTGCTAAATTTAAGATTGGAGAGAGATGGTTCAAATTCCTAATCCTATTCCTGAAGCAAAATGGGATGTCTTTGAGACCATTTGCCATCATTATCCTCCCTAAGGAAGGATAAAATCTGGGAGAAAGCATGCCCTTAAAGAAAGAATATAAGGATGCAGTGCAAATAAACTGACTAGTTCTCTAGCTAGTTTTACCAAAGACTGTATATCTATCTATACATCTTACCAAAGCTTTTTTTTAAATCCATCATTACAAAACTAACAAGAAGCTAATGCTGCACACTGTTAGCCAATTATTCTTTATCTGGAACAAAGGCTGGTATAAAAGATGTAGACCCATGGAACTATTTGACCCACCAAAGAGAGGCTATTGGGGAGCAAATGAAGAAAGCAATGTTGCACAAACATGACATAAACTCCACCTCTTTTATATGTGCATCATAGCTTTGCACACCCATGAAAAAAGGATGGAGACTGTGGCCTGGTGGCATGATCCTGCTTTCGTCACTGGGACAAAAGTGATGGATCTTGTGGACGCCTCTGCCTCTAAGACTGTAAAAAGAGGAGCTGAGAGTAAGAATGACATTTCAAATCAAGTGATTCCTGGGTAACTTAGACTTACAGTTCCCAGGGTGGCCTACAATCAATCAATCAATCAATCAATCAATCAATCAATCAATCAGTCAATCAGTCAATCTCCTGTTTCACCCAATAAAAGGAGATCAGTTGACACATTGCTGAAATCTACCCTTACAATTGCTTAAAATATGTTTTTGACTCTTTCTATCTTATTCTCAGGATACTGAGAACTGCTCTCTGCCTGAAGGTTTTCCAGGTAGGGTTTTTCTGCCAATGTTCTTGCTAAAAGTGATGGAAGACGCTCTGTTTTCTATCTTTCTGCACCCCTCCTGGCTGTCCTCACTTCCTGATCTGTAAAAGTTTCCTGGAAGGCATTCTCCCCAATATCTTGGCATTAAATGGAAATGCAGTGGGATGCTGACTGCTAGAGATACATGGTCCAATGAAAAATAGGACATTCACATCCCCCTTGACCACCTCATTGTTGCATCAGTGACACTCCACCCTTGAGGAGGTCTCAATATCTTCTTCTCTTTGGAAAGAAGATTAACAGCTAACTCTCTGTTTGAGAACTGATAGTCAGAGGTGCAAGAAAAGCGTTTCTCGGTACAGCATCAAAATGAGCAGTCTTGGATCTTCTCAATCATCCCTACCTGCTGCTTTTCTAATGTGCAGGACGTAGCCGATGATCTCCTTTGTGTTTTGCAATGGCTCGCTCCACAGCAGCTGGACGGTGGTAGCTGAGACGGAGGCTGCTTTCACTTCCTGAGGAGGGCCGGGAAGTCGGTCAGCCCACAGCACCGTCAAGCGGGCACTGGCTTGGGTGGACCCGGCGCTGTTCTCCGCAATACACTGGTAGATGGCCTCATCGGCCTGGCCAATGTTGGAGATGGTGAGCGTGCTGTGTGGAAAACAGTCAGACCAGGCAAGTTTAGCACTTCCTAGCAAGCCCCCTAGGATTCAGCCTTCCTCAGTCCTCTGACCCCCTCACATAGCCCCATTCAGATCTAGGTTAATCCTTCGGTGTCTGAAAAGGATGTCATAGAAGTCTAGATTGCTTGGGTGGGGCTTCCCTGCACGCTTTGTCTTGCACAGGGTGGGACAAAGTCCAGCGGACTCTTGCTGAGCATGAAAACTTGGATCCCAAAGAGCAAGTGGATTATGTTGAAGGAAAGAGAAGAAACAAGCAGGAGAAGAAGAAGGTGGAGATGGAATTAATTGGCTCTTGTAATCAGAGGGCTTCCCTCTATTTTAAATGTAAGAGGCTGAAGTGGCCAGCCATTAAAAGCAAAAAGGGAAAAGAAATTCCTAGAAAGAGGATTGGACAATAAAAAATGGGCAATTTTATCTGCTGGTTGCACTGCTGTGACACCCTGGGGTGCTATGCCAACTGTGAATGGGCAAGGAAGAAAGGGGATAGAGGAGGATTTGTTCTTCCCCCCTAAACAAAACTCTTCGCATTTCTTACAATAGTAGGACAATTTTGTTACATGTGCTTGTGGTCATGGCATCTTAGGGGCTAAGGAATTGTGTCCTAAGTACCAGCTGGCATGGCTGGAAATGCAACATTATGTAGATGAATTGACATCTGTCAGGGGGTGCAGCAGTGAAGGTGCTGGATTAAGGGTGGGAAGAGCCATGTTTTACTCTATCCTCAGCCACAGAAGGTCCCTGGGGGACTTTGGGACAGTCCCTTCTTCTCCATCCAAGAGCTGAGTTGGGTAGTGGAGAAGATCTTGGACTAACAGTGGGGAGACCCAGGTTCTAATCCCCCTTCAGCTCTCAAAGACCTCTGGATGACTTTGGGCCAGTTCCTCCCTCTCAGCCCCAGAGCCAGCCTGGGGTAGTGGTGAAGGTACTGAACTAGGAGTGAATAGACCTAGGTTCAAGTCCCTCCTCAGTCACAGAAGCTCCCTGGTGGACTTTGGGCCAGTCACTCCCAGCCCAAGCTACCTCACAGGGTTGTTGTTGCTCTTGGAAAAAAGGAGGGAGTGCTACTTAAATTGCTTTAAACTCCTGGAGAAAAAGCAGGGTATAAATCTAATAAATGAATCCACATCCCCCAAAGCACTTGTGGAATAACAGGACGTGAACCCAGGCCCACATTTACGGTATAGCTAGTTCAGAGGTGACACTGGACAGATGCTGATGGAGGAGACCCAGGTCTCAGCAGAGGCAAAAAGTGCCCCTTTGCAAACCTGCAAATGCCACAGAGAAGAGGGATTTCCCCATTTTCAGTGGGGAGAAAAATACCACTCACGCTTTGCTCAGACACCCGTGACCACAGAGGGAACCAAACAAAGTGAATGTTATCTTTTGCCAGCCAATTTTTTTTCCTTTCTTCAGCCACTTCCAACTTTCAAGCCCAGGAAAAGCAGAGCAAAGGAAATCTCTCTACTACGACCACCTTTAAGCCATGCTGGGTGCCTGTAGAGGGTGCTCAGAAAAGTTGAGGGGATGGCCACGATAGTGCAACTGAACCTATGCTCATTTTTTATGTGTCTTGCACACAAAAATGGGCAGAGTTCGGACTGCCCTGTTGTGCTGCCATCTCGACTTGTTGACCACACCCTGGGGACACCCGTGAAGCTCTGCAGGTTCAGGATATCATGGAATGATCTCAGTAGTTACGAGCAAACATTTCGCCATGGATTGCCAGCAATTGTCCTGTGCATTATTTTATTCAAACCCTGTTTTTCCCTCTGCAAGAGTTGGGAAATTTAGGATTAAAAGGGGTTGGGCGCACTCCAACTCCTATGCAGCTGTTCAGTGAAAAAGGCATAATTTAATTCGCAAGCCTTACACCCTGTTACAGCATAATCGTTACTGAGTGCTGGGAGGTGGTAGGAGTGGCATAAATCTAAATATATGAAGAAATAAAATAAGCCAGGCTATAGCAGGCTACTATTCAAAATGATCCGAAAGAGGTCTTTCAGTACAGTACTTCTTTAAAGTGGCCATATCTTTTTTCAGGCTCCTATCAGAACCTGAAAAAAAGACATAGCTGCTTTAATAGTCAATGCCTTAAAGTAGATGTGCATTTACAGTAATATATTATTCAATGCTTAATCATGGCAGAATAGAATCCTTTTGTTAAGGGAGGGCTGAGATTTCTTCAAGTTTGTGCGGAAGACCGAAAAAGAATGTGGGGCAACTTTGCAGAAAGTGATAAAGTGATGAATGGTATAGGGTGAATATGTAAAAACTCCCCCATTTCTTCTCTTCTTACAACACTCCCATTTACTCTCCCAATTAGAAATGACTGGTCTTGGGTTCAGGACAAATGAAAAGAACTGCTTTTTCATGGGATATCTAATTAATATATTAAATAGTATATGTAACATAATAATATGTATAAAACCATGAGTGGCAATGACAGCCACCAACATTAATGCTTTTCTTAAATGGATAGAAAAATACACAGAAGTGCTAATCAATGAGTTCACTTATTAGGTTAGGCAAGATTCTCAGCTTGTGGGTCCCAAGCCCTTGAAGGGCTATAAATCTGGGGGGCTTTGCATAGGCAAAGCAGGATTGTGATTAGAACTCATTCTGGTCACTGGCTTGTCCAAGGAAAGCAGAGAGGAGAGTTGGGAGCAAAGTCTGACAAGGCTCTGGCTTTGCATGCATAAGGCTGGCGGTGTACAAGTGCCAAGTTGGATCACTGCCAGTTCTTGCTCCCGCTCTCTCTGGACAAGCAGGCTCAAAGCCTGAATCCTGACAGAGCTCTAGTCTGGGTTACACCTCATGGCCTGTGCACCCAAAGCACAATCACCCTCTGAGCTTGCTCCCGCTCTGCCTGGACAAGCCCACAGCCAGCTTGAACAAGCAAAGCCTGGAGCACGTTCTGATGGGGCTCCTGCTTTGAGTAACAAGCAGCACAGCTTGTGCACGCAAAGCTGGAGCTTGTCAAAACCGGCTTCTGGTCTGTCCAGGCAAGTCGACAGCAAAGTCAGGATTTTCTACAGCTGCTGTAAAAAGATCAGGCCAAAACAAATGAGAATCGAGAGTCAGTGGCCCCAAAACACATTCCAGATTTCAGGAACAACGTACCCTTAAGCAAGCTCATCCTTCCTTTAAGAAGTATTGTTTAAAATTGGTTGTTTCATTGTTTATTTCCAATGATAGGTTTTATTTTAGAACCATGCAAGATTCTTTCATTGCTTTGTTTGATATATAAATTAACATTTGATTATTACAAATGGTATATTCATTTTTTTTTTTTTTGTATGTGCGAATGCACAGGTGTCTGTATGCATAAGGATATTTTAAAAGATCAGGTTTTTGTTTTTTTGCATAGTGGATCCTAAACAAACTGGGACCATCAGGTCTTGCTTTGTGGAACATCAATGAATACCTCTTTGCCACTGTGGTGGGCGGAGGGAATGGTCTTGAAGGACAGGGGGAAGAGCTGCTGGCAAGGCAACGATCAGATAAAAGAAACCTGAGTCTGGGTCAGAATTGTAAGAACTGTAACCTGAGAAAACATCTCAGACAATACTGTCTCTAGTTTTCATAAAGATGAAGGGAAGGAGGGGGGAAGCATCTTCAGACTTGCAAGATCCTGTTACAATAGCTCTATAAAAAAGTAGTAGTAGCCTGCGTGACTTTGGTTCCCTCATCTGGTCTACCCTGAAGGGCTGACAGCCAGTTGGCTGGATTCACACGACAAACAAGACTTAGATAAATGGGGCTGAGCCGTTGGTAGTTCAGTGTACAGTTGTGTTGTGTGAACTAGGCTATTCTTTTAAACCATGATCTGATTTACTTGTTTGGACAGAGCATGTTAAGTGAACAAAGCATCTCTGTTTGGTTCACACAGGTTTAGGGTCAAGCAAGTTATCTGAATCCAGCTTTTCCTTCTAGCAACTGCAGAACAAAAACAGTCAAGCTAATATTTATTGTTTGATGATACGGTTGAAAGACTAATCCATAAAGTAAATATAATGAGGAATTCCCATTGCACTTGTAAGGAGAATATAAATAACTGAGTAATATAGGCCATAAACAAACTACCAGATAATCACAAGTGCTTTCTGGTCTCCCAGTTCCAGATATTCACATCTGCCTTGTTCAACACCATCCTTTCCTCATCTGCACACGTCCAGAACCAGAAAGGGTACTGAATGCATCCAGATTAAGTTCGGCTGCCTGGATGATTTTAGCAAGCTCCTCTGTGGTGTCCCAGATTCAGTGCATCTGATTAAATTCCCTCCCTCCCTCCCAAAAGTCGGAAGCTGAGAGATGATGTCAGGGATGGGGGCAGTTTTTTAATCCAGGCCAGCACAACCCTGGAGACCACCGAAACAGATGGCACAAAGGTGGCTTAGCTATTTACAGGAGCTGTTCTTTTTGTTCTGCGTGACCTACTGGGAACATGAGAGTGGCAGGTTGGGAAGAGGGTCACCCACTGGAGGGGGCAAGACCAAGTCACAGCTGGGTCAGGATGCCGCAGGTTTTCTGAGCATGACTAAAGCACATCAGGAAGCAAAGGAGACCACGATCTCGACCTAGAGCTGCTCAGGGGTTTTGAGAGTTGGAAGTCAAGCATATCAGGAAGCCAATCAGTTTGGGGAAGGTGGTTATGCCCACTGACCCGAAGTAGGTTCCACCAAACACAACAGGCCTTTGTATTCACCGCTGAAAGTCCTGTCTGATTCACTAAAACAGAGAATAAATCGTGGCGCTGGAGGCTGGGCATCCCAAAGCTGCATTTTCATCTCTGAGTTTATACAAACTTTTGCAAAAGAGGGAGCAATGCAGAGAATTTCCCAGAAGACTTCCTGATGCTGAGCAAGGCTCTTGAAAGAAATGCCACCCAGAGGGTCACAGTATGAGGCTTGCCAGCCGTGTGCCTCCCCCCAAAGCATGGAGTGCAATGCTGAGATTTCCAAAAGTTGT